CAGCCTCCTTCCTCCTCTGTCCTGATCAGCTTGGAGACACTGCACATCTTGCAGCTTGATCCATACCAGGTAGCTTTTTTTAATATGCACCCCTTTATTTTCTTTTTGATAGTATCTAGGTACCACAGAAAGACTTAGAAAAGAGGAATTTCCCAGCTGAGGAGTTGAAGCGTTGAGATTAGGTTAGTCACAAATGGATAGAAGATGCTGGAGAATAATTCTAGTGCTCCTTCATCCAGGGTTAGTAATGTAAGGCTGTCCTTGCTCTTAATTTTTCAAGTATCAATGCAAGGAAAGCTATGAGGAAGGCTTTGGAAAATTGCTTTCCAACTGGATGACCTCAGAACAAAATATAATAAATAACAAAAGTATATATCTTCACATATGCCTTCAACTTATGGAGAGCTGATGTGCAGTAAAACTGTGCTGATCTTGCTGCAGATTGCTCTTTCTCACAGCGACTGATCAAGGGGAATGTGACTGAATAAGGGAGATATGGCTGTGAATGGTGGCTGCCTACGTCAGTGTGCTTGGATTATCTGCTTTATAATGGATTTACCGTACACAAATTGAACAATCTTAAATAATTCAAACTACTTGCTAGTGAAAGCAAGGCCACAGAGTAAGAATGTGGGCCAGGTGAACATCTGTGCTAGCTTTACCCTGAACAGAAGCCTTTATGTTCAAGACAAGTCTGAACTGTTAAATATTGCCCTGGTAATTTCAGAAAGTTCTATGCTTTGGACTCATTTATGGAACAAGAGTAAATTATTCTCCTGTCGTATAAAGTCATAGCTTAAACACATTGGCATTACATCCTAATTTGGGAAGCTTTATTATTTTCTATAAATCTAAATTACTTTCAGATTTCATTGCATGACTTACGTATTGGTATTACTTTTTAAAGAAAAGTAATTGCAATGCAAACTCAAGTAAGCTTTCTGGACGCAGAGTACCCACTTTGTCAGAGCGCTTCTCCGCTGACGCTCCTTCTCATTTTGCAGATACTGAGTTTGCTGTTCGATGGTTTTTTCCCAGAAGTTCCTCAGGTCGCTGGTCTCACAGCCCCGCACTTCATGACGCATATATTGGCTATTCATTTTCACTAAAGGAAAAATTTGAAGCAACTCTATGATAAGGTACCAGTTCCTCATCTGTTTTCATGCTAAAGCAGATTCTTGATATTTTGGATTTCCTTCATTAGGGTCACACAGTCCTTTTTTTTGTAGGATCAGGATAACTGTGGGCATGACTCATTATTTAAGCTTTTCTTTCCTAGCTCTGACACTTGAGGATATACTGTCTACAGTGATTTGAATTCTTACTTGTGTACCTAAGATATCTCTCACCTCCATCTGACTATGATGTTTATGTTCACAATCAGGACAGTGCTCTTGTATTCTGTAATTTAGCAATTAGAATACTTTTTACTGTGCCCACAAACAAAAAAAATGCCATGTTAAATAGAATTTTTTTGGCCCATTATTTTCATGTCTCTAAAATTTTAAAGTAACTATTGTTCTGATGATTTGCCTTATTATAAGATTAGACTTATTTGGAAATGTAGAAAATTTATATATATATATAAGTATGTACATAATTTCACAAGATGCTGACTTGCAAAATCCACTTTGTTTACTAATTATTTTCCCCTCTTCTTCAAATAGATTCAAATTCATTGAATATATTCTTGTATCTGTGAGGATTCTGTACTTTCATCTTTAGTTAATGTTATCTTAAATAAATTCTGGAGTGAATTTTATCCTAGGGAAAGAATATTTGCCTCAGAATGACTCTTTGTGGGCTAACAGTAAATTCCCTGTATGCCACATTGCAGCCAAAAAATTATATCATTACTTTCAAAACTTCATTAAATATGAAATTAGTATATCCATGCTGTCTTTCAAATTGCTATGTGCTTTTGCATGAACATCCCATTATAATATTTTCCAGATAATTTAAATTTTTAACAAGTATTTAGGGCTCTCTCATGCATTGTTTGAATTCATGGAAATTATTTGTAATTTATTTTAATCAGAGCTATAGAGAGATAGTAAACAAGCCCCTCAAGACTAGCTTGGAAAAGCTTGAAGAAACTGCTGCCTTCCCCCTGCCAGGCATCATAGGAAAAAACAAAACTGGGAACTGATAATCTTCACATAATTGGCTGTTTTGTGAAAAATTGACAGACACATTATAAAAACTATGTGAGCAGAGGACAAAATCAATTCCTTTGAAGAGGTCCCCTTTTTGCTAAGATTTCCCTGTAACTCCCCTGTGATTCCCTGTAAAGACTTCATATGTCAGCTCATGGCCTCCAAATAATAGAAGCGCAATGCTTGAGCCCCACTCCTGCAAAAAGGAATTACTGAGCATATTTTCCAGTCCTGAACAAATTATAGCTGGATGTATAATTGTTGACATTAGTCTGTAATGGGAATTGTGAGTGTTGCTGAACACCTACACCTGTGCTAGGGGTAACCAATTTCAGGTCAAAAAGTTCACTTGATACATGTGCATATTTTCATAAAATATATGTATTCTATAAATATCCACATATATATCAATGCCAACCCAAATATTTCTTCCCAGGTGGCAGTTCTATGCTTTTAAACTTTTTGTGTACTAGCAGTAATCTTCAGTGATATGAGAAAGATATGGTAAAAGCCATCTAAGTAAAACTAAAGGACTTTCCAACCTAGGAGTTAATCTCTAAGAATAATTCTTTCTGGAGTGCAGGAAGAAAAATTCCCCTATATACCTGGGGCTCCAATATAAACTGCCAGGAAATAATGTCTT